GCTGCTTGCGTTCAGTGGTTATTCTCCAAAATGGCACTACGGTGATGCGGAGAGACACAGAGGAGACGAATTGTTGAACAAAATAAATTTTTGTTTTCTTCGCGTACAAAAAGTATTCTCGTCGCTTCATAACGTTACGGTTGAACCACTGATGGCAGATGGACTATTCTGACGATGTCTTTCATACTTTTCTGGACCTTGACAGTGTAATTTAATTGGCAGTCAATGGGACAGTCACAATCCTCCCGGTTTTCATCCAAAATACCTTAAATTGTGTTCCGAAGACGAACTAAGCTTTTACGGGTTTGGAACAACATGGGGGTAAGTGATTAATGACAAAATTTTCATTTTGGGGTGGAGTAACCCTTATCGTATGGCTTCAGAAGTAACACAGAATAATATGCACAATCTCGGATTTGGATCGGCCCTCTCTGACCGATATATGAATATCGGATAGGCGCATCCCTAGCTCTGACATGACCCACATTTACGGAAGTGGGACTAAAAGTGTATCAGCAGAATTCATCCACTATGACCCTGGATGCTTATGAAAGAGGAGTAGAAATTGCACAACACTTAGGCAAAAACAAAAGACCTTAAGGCAACCTGATATTTAACGCGCATCTTGTCAGTAAAGCCGTTTCTGTAATCAGCGGTAAACTCCATCACGTGCGGGCTTTCACATGGAGCAGCATTTACTACTGTTCACTGACAAGCTGCGCAAAACATGCGCAAAATATGATCGTGGTTTTGCGCAGCTTGTCAGTGAACAACGGCTCTGTGTAGTAAATGCTGCTCCATGTGAAAGCACGCACGTGAAGGAGATTTACCGCTGATTACAGAACTTTCTTTACTGACAAGATGCGCGTTAAATATCGCATGCGATTTATCGTGCAGCCCTAATTTAACTTAACTGGAAATTAAATGTCCAGTGAGTGAGTGGAGCTAAAAGGTTAATGCTTAATCGAGTTTGAAAATAACACACCACCTACACTAAACTCCACCCTACATGTTTCACTGGGCCGGAGCGCTCCGCATCGCAAGTGTAATGTTGTACCTGGTGAGCTACCGAGCAAGTTTACTACATTAGAAAAGCCATACATATGGAGCTGGTTATTTGATGCAAATGTCAAAATGTATTAGTTTACAAATCATGTGTCTTGAGGTAACATAGTATTGTGCAAGGAACAGTGTGAAAATAAATCTTCATTAATCAATAATCTGCCCCAACAAACATAATTTGAGTGAAAAGGAATAAAAGTTGTTGGTGTTTCACTGCCTCTAAGTGTTCATTTCAGATGGAAGCTGCAGTGATATGTGCAGGTATGTTATTGGAGTTTTGCAAAAATGTAGGCAGAGCACATTTTTCCAATGAGTCTATGTTGGAGCCTATAAAAAACAAATAAAAACATATTGGTTGACACCAATTAAAAACAATATTTTCAGCAAAAAAGAATCAAACAAATTTTAAAAAAGATCAGCCTTGATACATCACATCTCTTAAAAAGGCTTACAAAATCTCTTAAAATCTCTTAAATTATTAAGCTGAACAGATGATTAAAGCAAAACTGAAGAATGACATATTTTAACAGTTTATGAAGTGACAGCTGAATCAACATTAAAAAAAACCCTCAGTGAATTCACACTTGAATGACACGTTACCTAGAACTAGAAGATGCTTTCAGTTTTTAATGCCTTCAATCCACCTGATCAAATCTACAGAATTGTAAATGTAAGCCAACACCTCAGCAAAAGCAGGGTCACATTTCACCGGCTCAGTATTAAACTCATTTTGTTTAACGTGAGATAACTTCACATCAGCGTGAATAACTGTCTACACTGCTTAATGCCAGACCGCAGGCTGGACCAGTATTAGAACTCACTTTTCTGGGTATATGCACTAAAAACATGGACAAACTGAAAGGCTTTGTTTTCACTGAAAACCACTTAATTGTTGCTGGCACATTAGAGAGGACTGCGCAATAGCCATAGGCCACATGCTTAAGCCAGTACTAAAGACTTCATCAGCCTATCACAACAAATAATCAGACAACAGGCATGATATTGACTAAGCGATTAATCATGCATTAATGAAACATCATATGAATGTTTGACTCACTAGTTATGTCAGCGACTGTGTGTGTGTGTGTGTGTGTGCGTGTGTGAACCTGTCAAGAACATGTCAAAGACATTTAAAAATATTTAAAAATGTTTTTTAACACTCTAAACCAACATACTGTACATCTGGACGTAGGATAAATCACTTTTCAGTGGTCAACATGATTATTAGAAAGTCAGAACACAGAAATTTCACAGCTGATTCTCAAGAGAAACCAAATCAATGTGGACGTCAACCAATGTCCAGACATGACAACTCAATACGTCCATCATGTAGGGGCATAGCGTAGATCCCATGGGACATAAGGGGGACGTGTCCCACCACAACTTTGGGACAACAGAAAATTGTCTATACTGTAACAACTATATCCTGTTTGCCGATCCCCCAACTATAATGTAAAGCATTCACAAAAGTGAATGTGTCCAATGAAGCAGGACTTGTTGGTTGTTCCTACTCCAGGAGTCTGGGGTGCAGGTTTGCACATGCTTCCCCTACAAACCCTCTGGGCTTTAACTTTTTCTCTGGCCCAGATTTCATTTTAGCTTGCATGCAAACCTGCCAGAGAATCAAACCCCAACTTTCAACACACAGATGGGCAGATGATGATTATGATGGACAGGAAGCTCTCAAGAACATTCCAGGCAGGAGGAAGAGGAGGAGAACTAACCAACACAAGAACTGTAATCAGACACTTGAGTGCATGCTTATGAAACTCCAGCTACACTAAATTACACTTTTTCCCTTCTTACAAAAGATGACCCGGTTAGGAGCTGCAGGGCCCGGCGTCGCCATACACACATATTTACACACGTATACACACATACAGCACGACTGTACATACAACAGTACGTATAGCCATGCAGAGCTGCCATCAAGCGGAAAAAACACAGCAAGAATAAATGAAAACTCCCCGTCTGCCATCCGAAAGAAAGCTCGTGAAACGCATACGTGCAATGATCAGCGGGAATCGGTTCAAGTTTAAAGGAACAAACCTGTTTATGGCCAGAGCGGTCCGCTGGATATTGGGTTGATTTGAGTTTTAGTTGTTCACAATCTAGAAACGTTTGTCTGGAAAATGGTTAAGTTGTTTGTGTAGATTATTAACAGAAGTGTTTTTGGACCCAAATGGATACACCGCTTACGACGGTTTGAGTTTTTAAGAGTTGCTAAAACTAATTTAATGTGATCGTGAGATCTGGTTGCGGTTCGAGTTTGTCATCATGGATGATGGAAGCGCGGAGACTGAAGCGCTCATCGGGATCTCGAGTGAAGATGGTCGGTCTCACTTGGACGCAAGAAACACGGCTGCTGAGTTCAAAGTTTACAAAAGGAGATGGTTCATCTTATTTGTACTCTGCCTGCTAAACTGTTCTAACGCAATGGTAGGATGTTAATTCATTTACATAGACTTATTTGTACACAATTCATCGGTGCACGTTATTTCAAAAACAATGTTTGTCTTCCTTATTTTTCATTAAAATGTTCTGTATTTTTTGTTAAGTACAAATATGCCAGGGAAATATATCCGAATAGAACCGAAGGTGCATCTGACTTACGGCTCTACAACAAATTTTGTTTATAATGACGTCATGAATCCCTCTTCCCAACCCTTCCAGCCTGGGTTGTTTACTTTAAACATCCAATGAAATAAAAATGTATGTTTTAAGTTTTATGTTATGTTTGAACAAATATAGCCTATACGCAATTTACAGTGCTCTACTTCCTGTAAAACGACTAAAACTATTGATGACTCATCTTGCACTTCAAGCATATCCACATTTTTGTCCAATAAAATGTTTTAACTGAAAATTTCCCTCCAACCACATGCCTCTGACTTGCATTAGCAAGTAGCAAATCATGGTTCAAAGCATGCGATTAATTGCAATTCATTTGATCAGTTAATTAGCGTATCATGCTCTAAATACAATTAAAATATCTCTACTGATTTATGATGCCTGTTGTTCAATTTATCCATTGTTTAACCCATTTAGGAAATGTTCACACTTTCTAAAGTGATCAGTCCACTAGGGGCTTCAGTCTACAGGGTCATACAGGGTCATCCTAAAAGCCCATTTGTAGTAGGACATGGATACGTCCCCCCGAGGCTATTATCTCTGAAGAGGGCGTGTGCCAGAAAGGGGCTTGTCAATCTTAATTACGCACCCCTGGTTCCCATGGGACATGTCATTTGCACGGACACCATTGTATATGTGTTACAAGGCCAAGACGTCCAAAGCTGTTCATCTGAAATATGAGAAATCTACATCGTGTCTTGGCACACTGTGTTAAAGCTTAGCAGATGGTGTAATTCGGGGCTTATTTAAAGATTACAATCTTGAGGAAATCTGATGACAGCCTAAACCAGTAGATGTGATTCTGGATTGCAGGCATGTGTTAAGAATTTTTAAGTACAAAAATATTTTTTACGTACAATCAGAACTGACAGTTAATTTTAGGAAAGCATCTTATGTTACACCAAGTGCACAAAGGAATTCCACACTGACTGTGAAAACAGCGTCTATGCATTTAAATTAATGCGAAAAATGGTCCCAGTAAGTTGTGCAGTGGTGCATAAAATGACTGTATTGTGTTTTGGGATCAGCTGACTGCCATCTGTCATGCTGCTGCATACATATAATATTGTTGATAGCAAACAAATAAATGCTATTGTGTACATCACTGCAAATGAACAATCAAAAACACTGCAAATGGCCACTGCACTGTGAATAATGCTCAGTAGGGCTATAAAGTACTCAAGTCTCTCTCTCATCCTTCGACTTGCTTCCTTTTATCAGGGGTCGCCACAGTGGAGTGATCCGCACAACTGATTTGGCACATGTTTTATGCTGGATGCCCTTCCTGCCACAACCCGGCCCTGAGAGTGCACTAACTCGTGCAACCCCCAGTGCTGGGACACACTCACTCACTCATTCACACACACACTCACTCACTACGGCCAATGTACTTTGTCCTATAAAGTACTCAAGTAAATGTTCTTAATCAAGTGTTTACTCTAGTACCACTGAAACAAAATACTTGTATTTTTACTCCGTTACATTCTGGAGGAAAATAAAAATATATTTTTACTCCTTAAAATTTCATTTAGAATGTGGCTTGACTTGTATAATTGTACCCATAATTTATTTTCAAGCATAATTTCTCAGTACAATTTACACCACTGCCGCTCATACACTTGCACGTCACTCTGTGTTTGTCATATTTAGCTCATGTGAGGGGCCCTTCTGACCTGTGGTTCCTGTTTTTTGCAGCTTCAGCAGTTAAATGTTGAACTGAGACTTTGTGTCATATGAGCAAGCTGGTCCAGTTTCATGCACTTCATATTTATAAATGTCATAGATACATAATATATAGTATTTTCTTGAATGTTGTATTTTTGTGGACTAGATATCGGAATAATGTACACATTGAAGCTACACCTTCATTTTTATTGTGTTCAATTTCTCCACAGGCATGGCTGACTTTTGCACCTGTGGCCGACCAGACAGCACAATATCTGCGAGTCTCTCTAAATCTGGTCAACTGGCTGTCGCTAGTCTATATAGTGGTTGCTGTCTTCTTCAGTTTGATCACAACATGGGTGCTGGACACACTGGGACTGCGCTTCTCGGTATACAGAGAGATAATACTGTCAAATCTATATTGTTAAATATTGTTTTCCAGCTGTTACCAAAAAAAAAAAAAAAAGGAATAATAACTAGTTTTTGCCAAATACCATTGTTAAAGTTATTGTTCCTTATGGGGAAAAAAAACATAATTAATCAATAATGCATCTCCTTTGTCAATGTTGTTGACTAATATCACAGTTTTATTGTAAATATAACTTAAGTAAATGTGGTATTTTGGCAGAAATTATGGTTAGGCCTAAAACTGTAGTGTGACAACATGCCATTTAAAAAACATAAAGGTTTATATAAAGGTCAGTGATGATCATAATAAAGTTATAATATTATAATAATGAAGTAACTGATCATATAGTTTTCAATTAAATTAACTGTGTTTGTGCTCTTGGTTCTTGAAGTGCAAAACATGTTGTCTTTACGGTAATTCGATTCACTTGTTGTAGACTGCCACCTGGGTACCTCACTTCACTTCAGTTGATTCTTCAGAAATCGAACAAAAAATAGGTAACAGATGAAACACACATAAACCAAGTGGGAAAATAATAGGAAATAAAATGATACAATATATAGCGTTATGCTATATTACATAATATAAATATACCATGTAAATGTATATTGAACCTAGCTGCAACGAGCGTGCACTTCATTTACGATGCGCAAACCGATTTTCGTCGCGACCAATAATTTTGCAACTAATTTAAGTTTAATCAAAAGTTAACATACTTGTCTTTTGCAGTCAAGCTATTCTGTCAAATAATGCAAAACATTATTTATATAAAACAAAGTTAAATAAAATATTCAAAGAAAAAAGTCTTGACCAGGGGCACATCAGGTACTCACAAGCGAGACTATGGGTGCTCCAGAGCGGGAACAAAAAGTCAAAAACAAAAAGTGGATCCCATTGCAAGAAACAAAAAAAATCCACATCCAGGCACTCACATAGCAGGCAAAATACATGTAGCCCTGTCTTACAATAAAGGCTTTTTATATTTTGCCTGCTATGTGAGTGCTTGGACGTGGATTTTTTTTGTTTCTTGCAATGGCATCCACTTTTTGTTTTTAAATAAAATATTATTTAATTGTGTTATTTAGGAAGCATAAAATAAAAGAGTTATCAAATTGTTTTAGTTTTTAGTAAATTAGATAATTTACTTAACACGTATAATTTTGAATTATTTTAAATGCCATTCCCACCACAGAAAGGTATCAAACACAATACATAATTTGGGATGTAGCCTATTGAAAAAGCCGCTGTGATGAAAATGTTCATCACATTTACGAAATATACTTTCTTCCTATTTTCTGAAACAGCTAATCGTGGGCTCATGGCTCAACATGTTGGGCGCTATCCTGCGTGTCATTGGCATTGAATTATTTTAAATGCCATTCCCACCACAGAAAGGTATCAAACACAATACATAATTTGGGATGTAGCCTATTGAAAAAGCCGCTGTGATGAAAATGTTCATCACATTTACGAAATATACTTTCTTCCTATTTTCTGAAACACAGCTAATCATGGGCTCATGGCTCAACATGTTGGGCGCTATCCTGCGTGTCATTGGCATGTTGAGCTGCATCCCAGAGCGGGCCATTTTCCCTATGGTCATGGGGGGCCAGACGTTGTGTGCCTTCGCCCAGCCTTTTGTCATCTTTGCCCCCACCAAGCTGGCCGCTCTCTGGTTCCCTGATCACCAGAGGGCCACAGCTAACATGATGGCTTCCATGGGTAACCTTTTTACAGCTCATATTTTATATGGTACTTAAATGCCTGTAGCCTACTGTAGAATGGTAATATTCTTCTCCTTTGTTTTCCAGCTAATACTGTTGGGCTGCTCTTAGCGAATATCTTCTCTCCAATGATACTTAGTTACACCAATACTCTTTTCATGCTGGTAAGACTGCTTAAGACAGAACTTGGGAAAAAAATAATTTTATTTCTTGTATGATGCACATCCCTTATAGTCCCGTCGTCTCTCTGTCTGACTTGTAGCTCTTGATATATGCTATACCTGCCACCATAGCCTGTTTCCTAGCAACAGTGGGGATCCGTGAACGCGTTCCCCCCACACCCCCTTCTGCCAGCATGGTGACCTCCAGCTCTGAACCTTTTCTACAGGGGGTGAAACTGGTACTACACACAGTTTCAAACAAACTGACAACTCATTTACTTTATTGCATGAGCAATGTGCATTTTTTCGAGAATTAATTAAATATAGCCTCTGATTAAAGATGGCGTTTATGTCATTTTGTACTGCTGTCTGAGATTCACTGCGTTCTGTCACTCTTTTATTTGCAGCTGCTGACAAACAAAGCATATGTGTTCCTGCTGGTGTGTTTTGGTTCAGGAATAGGGGTATTCACTTGCTTTTCCACCTTACTGGAGCAGATACTTTGTGTTAAGGGCTACTCCAATGTAAGAACCCAAAAAGAATTATACCCACATTTACCTCAAATCATAAAACCAACCTGTGCCATAATATGTTAAATAACTAGAAATAAAGTTGAATCTCAACTAACTAGCTAACTTCAAATGCTGGATTTAGAAAGCCTTGTATTAAACATAGCATTAATACTGCACTAACTGGATGGATGGATGGTTTGTATAAACACTTTCAATCACCTGCCAAGTCTGTACAGTATTAGTAGTGTTAGCTTTGTCAAGTCAAGATAACTGTGTCTCTACATGTTTAATGTGGCAGGACTTTGCAGGACTGTGCGGTGCAGTTGCTATTGTATTCGGTGTTTTGGGTGCTTTTGATATATGATATACATGCCACCATAGCCTGTTTAATAGCAACAGTGGGGATCCGTGAACGCGTTCCCCCCACACCCCCTTCTGCCAGCATGGTGACCTCCAGCTCTGAACCTTTTCTACAGGGGGTGAAACTGGTACTACACCATTTTAAACAAACTTATTGCATGAGTGCATTTTTCGAGAATTTATGAAATATAGCATCTGACTACAGGTGGCTCTTGTCATTTTGTACTGCTGTCTGAGATTCACTGCGTTCTGTCACTCTTTTATTTGCAGCTGCTGACAAACAAAGCATATGTGTTCCTGCTGGTGTGTTTTGGTTCAGGAATAGGGGTATTCACTTGCTTTTCCACCTTACTGGAGCAGATACTTTGTGTTAAGGGCTACTCAAATGTAAGAACCCAAAAAGAATTATACCCACATTTACCTCAAACCATAAAACCAACCTGTGCCATAATATGTTAAATAACTAGAAATAAAGTTGAATCTCAACTAACTAGCTAACTTCAAATGCTGGATTTAGAAAGCCTTGTATTAAACATAGCATTAATACTGCACTAACTGGATGGATGGATGGTTTGTATAAACACTTTCAATCACCTGCCAAGTCTGTACAGTATTAGTAGTGTTAGCTTTGTCAAGTCAAGATAACTGTGTCTCTACATGTTTAATGTGGCAGGACTTTGCAGGACTGTGCGGTGCAGTTGCTATTGTATTCGGTGTTTTGGGTGCTTTTCTCCTCGGCCTGTACGTGGACAAGACCAAGAAGTTTACAGAAGTCACTAAAATAAACATGTGTCTGACATCACTGGGCTGCTCGGTTTTTGCGGTGGTGAGTAGAGTAAATGATTTCACTGTTGTTGATATGTGCTTGACCTGAAATGTTGTCGTCCTACTGTCCATCAGGTTTCCCAGTTAAGTGAGCAGAAGTTCATCATTGGTGCAGTATGTGCGTGGTTTGGATTCTTCGGGTACTCTGTATATCCCATCGCAATGGAGCTCGGAGTTGAATGCTCGTACCCTGTGGGTGAAGCAACATCCTCTGGATTGATCTTCGTGTCTGGGTAACTTTTTTTTTTTTAGTTTTTAAGAATTTTTTTTTTTTTTTTTTTACAAATTCTGTTTCAGAAGTGTTTCTTAAAGGAATAGTTCACCCAAAAATGAAAAATTGCTTAAAATGTACTTAATCTCAGGCCATCCAAGATCAGTTTATTTCTTCATCTGAACAGATTTGGAGAAATGTAGCATTACACTTGCTCCCCAATGGATCCTCTGCAGTGAATGGGTGCCGTCAGAATGAGAGTCCAAACAGCTGATAACAACAATCACCTTCATGATGGATTTGTTTCTTACAAACACGCAGATTTTGACTTCACAAGACATAATTGGACTGGAGTAGGGTGGATTATTTGTTCATTATTGTGATGTTTTTATCAGCTGTTTGGACTCTCATTCTGATGGCACCCATTCACTGCAGAGGATCCATTGGTGATCAAGTGATGTAATGCTAAATTTCTCCAAATCTGGTTTGATGAAGAAACAAACTCATCTACATCTTGGATGGTCTGAGGGTGTGTAAATTTGCTCAATTTTTCATTTTTGGGTAAGTAGTGCTTTAAGCTAACTAACTTTTTATAGACTGAACTGATGTGTTTAATGTGATGTTTAATCAGACAAATTCAGGCTGCCCTTTATCTGCTCCTGCTACAAGCTCTGGCCAAACCAATGGCAGAATCTCCATTATCTGTATGTGCTACTGGAACAGATGCCAATTTGAGCTGGACAGGTAAGTGTTGCATTATTTGAAATGTTAAAATACTATTTACTGAAAGATAGTATGCAGTGCACAGTGTTTACTGTCCAGTTATACAGTAAAAGGCATGGCCTTATTCAAGCGGTGATTAGTTTCCTCCCTTCACCGTGTCACAACTCCCACCATGCTTTGAAAGTCTAGTGTGGCTGGTTCGTGCACAATTTTCAATTCCTCTTCCTCCTCCTGGATAGGGAAAATGTTTAAAATGGGAACACGTCCAAATTAATCCAGCCTTCTGGCTTTTCCTGGTCGCTTGATGCCTTGATGAGTTGATACAGTTGGGCTGAGCTCCAGGCATTCATTTGTCTTTCTTTCTCTTGCTCTTTCTCCTAAATGCACACACACATAGTGCCAGTGCTGGTGATGGCAGGCCTGTGTACTCTGGGCACCTGCTGCTTTGTTGGCTTTTTCCACACGGATTACCGGAGACTCCGTGCGGAAGCCACAGCCTCACCAAATAGAGTGACAGACCAGTCAACAGGAGGAGACACCTGGGCAAACAGCACTGATGCATAAAGAGACGGACTGAACTAACGGCAAGAAAAACCACTGATGACAGTGTTTACGCACACTTTAAAGTCTTTTACCTCATTAACACTGAAAATGTGTCTTAAATGCAACTTTGTGCAGAAGTGGTACCACCTCAACACAATTAATGTTACATAAAACCAAACTCGTTATGCACAAAAAAAAAAAATTCTGTTAAAGGTAACCAAGACCAAATGTTTTATGCAAATATTAATCTCAAATCATAAATGTTTTTATTGCAATACAGGGTACAGGGATTTTCTAACTGTTATACATAATGCATTAAATAATTTTCTTATAATGTAGTTATTTTGAGGTACATATGTTGTTGAATGTTTAAAGTTGGAAACTAAGGCTAGTAGTTATTTTATGAAACTACAGATATATTTGAGTGCAATAAAATGTCCATAGTACTAACTTTCTACCTAAAGTAGGAGTAGAAATGAAGGATTGCTGGGATAACCACCATGGAATAAAAAAAGTGATTGTGCCTTTTTCTTGCAATTCTGCGTTTAAATCTCACTTTTTTGTAAGATATAAACTCAGAATTGATAGATATAAACTCACAATTACAAGAAAAAGAATTGCGAGGTATAAACTCAGAATTCATTTTTTCTTTCTCGCAATTCTGTTTTATTGTTTCTACAACGCAGTAAAAAAATAAAAGGTCATTGCAACTTTTTCTCTCACCACTGATTTTTTCCCCCTTGCAATTACAAGTTTACATCTCACAATTCACAATTTTCTTCTCAGAATTGCAAGTTATATATTGTTTTTCAGATAATTGGGAGAAAAAGTAGCAGTTACTTTAAGTGAAGTACAGTATTTTCAACTAATATTTAATGCCCAATTATTTATTTAGCAAAATTGCCATGTAATACTAAGCGTGACAGTGTACAGTAAGATGGTCATTTACATAAATCCCAAAAGGGTGCTTAGGAACCACTCAAAACCTATTCTGCACATTATCTTTTACAATTCCTGCTAACGTGACCAAAACATTAATTTGTTTGTATGTTAATAAAATTAATTATACAATCAAAAACATTGTTTTTAGAAAAAGTCATTTTTTTATATTTATCATCTGGCTGTCTGTTATATTTTATCTTAATTGTAAATGTAATCATCCTTTCCAATCATCCTACTACTTGTCCGCTTGATCCTATTCCATCTCATCTCCTTCAAGCCATTTCTCCTGCCGTTGTACCTGCACTCACTCACATCGTTAACACATCCCTTCACACTGGTGTTTTTCCCTCAGTATTTAAACAGGCTCGTATAACCCCACTTCTTAAGAAACCCACTCTGACACTCTAACTCTAACACTTTCTATTCTATTTTAATTCTACTTAATATTTATCTTTTTTTTATAAAAAAAAACAAAAAAACAAACACTAGCTTTCTTCTATTTTTTCTATTCTATCTACTTGTTTTTCTTTGTGTATGTGTGCGTGTATAATATATATATACACCTTGCTACGTGTACTGCGTTAGGCTAACCGAGACTTGTCATTTGCACTTATATATTGTTGCTCTTTTGTTAGTTTTGACTGCTTTTATTGTCCTCATTTGTAAGTCGCTTTGGATAAAAGCGTCTGCTAAATGACTAAATGTAAATGTAATTGTTTGAGGAGTTCACAAAGGACTTGAACAATTGTCAGCTATAGCCAGAAATGATCATATGTCAGTCCACATCCTCTTTTCTCGTAGATGCTTGCAAGAACAAAAGACATGAGCAGGGGCAATTTTTTTTTATTTTGTATTTGTGTAAAAAAAAAAAAAAAAAAAAGAAATTTTATCATTCAAAACACTGCATTACAGTGGCAAAAGAGCTCAATCTGCTTTTAAGAGGCACACCATTGATAATGAAGAATTACTTGAAACCCAACTCGACAATCATTTTTCAATCAAAATGACATAAAACGCATAAAAATGAGTAGTTTCATACCATAGTTGCTTGAGTAAAACTAAGCTCTTCATCATGGTTTACTAAACACCAGGCATTTAAAAGAGCTACACTTACCACAGAGCCGATGACAATGAAAAATAAAAAGAAAGAAAAAAAAAATGAAAAGAAAAAAAGAAACACTACACAAACATATCAAGGGCCCCAAAAAGGGTCTGAGATTTCCCAATATCACTACTTACAAAAAAACCATCTCCAATGATCCCGATCGATGTCACTAAACCTTGAAATGCCACATAAACAGGCAGGTGTGACAGTCTGAAGTGATGCATTGTGGGAATTCAGAGCTGAAGAGCGCAGAACTGCTGGTAAACAGCCAGGATATGATGGTCGAGCTCAGCGGTGAATAGCAGGTTCTCCAGGGTGCCGATATACTGCTGGATGATTACATAATGCTGTGGACGACAATGAAGATTGAAGGTAATAAATAAGGGATGTTTAATGACCAACAAAACCCAGTATAGACCGGCAAACAAGTGGATCAGGACTACCATGAGGAAGATCTGCTGTAGCCTCTCGATGCAGTTCTTGTACCAGGTGGTGTTGATGTCTACGCCGCTCGTTTCACAGCGAACCAGGTGCTCTGTCAGTAACATAATGAAGCGCTGAAAGAGAAAGAGAGATAACAACAGTTCTTCTCATCTCTTAGCTCCAGGCACTGTCTTCAAATAGCATAATGAAACACAAAAGACACACACAGAGAAAGACATGAAAAGAATGAAATGTTTCTCTTCTGACAAATAGGAACAAGGTGTAAAAGGAGTTGAGACATTAACAGGGACACATCTTTTTTTAATGTAGTCATGCAGCCTCTATAACAAATGTATTAACAAAAAAAGCTTTTTACATCAGGATAAAATGGATCTGCATTGTCATGGACGCACCTGGAATATAACAAGGAAAAGGTTCTTCTGTTCGCTCTGGGCCGACTCGACTTTCTCCTGCAGCCTCTCGATCTGTTCCTCCAACTGACCCTCCTCATCCTCACTGTTCTTCTCCATGTCCTCTTCATCGCCGCTGTCCCGCTGCTACAGGAAAAGAGAAACCGTGCGTCCTTGTGTTCTCGTACTACATCATCAACCATCAAAGTTCAATTCCAATAATAGAGAACGCAAGTACAGAGGATGAATGAAAGTACCCAGATTTGTTACTGATACTTAGGATGCATCGAATGCACACTTGAGAGAATCAACCAATGAGAAATCCCAGAAGACGCTGTGGGTGGATGCCGTATGAAAGTCTCTAAGCTTTAAACTTCCTGCTGCAAGCTCGAAATACTTGACGGCTTGTGAAAGTAAACATTTGTTGTTTTAATTTTGAATCATTGTAATAAAGTGATAAAGACCTGGAGAAAGCCAATATTTTCACTGGCACATTAAAATAATCGTAATATTGACGAAGCATAGGTAACGATTAAATATACATACTCATTTTCACAAATATACACAGTAAAATAAAAGGTTTAAAATATGAAAAATTTAATAAAATTGATAATAATAATCATCATCATCATCTAAAAAAGTAAATTAAAAGCTAAATTAAAAAAGATGACATAAGGATAAAAATAATCTAAAATAATGGGATTTTAGATGGGAAAATATTTGAATGGGAAACAATGTGACTTTTTTTTTCATAATCTGAAAAGCAATAAATAAAGATTCCAAGCATCGTAATGTGTGGTCTGAAATACATTTACATATGTATAGGACATTTGTTTTTGTCTGAATGAAAGCAGTTTTTGGAAAGTAGTGTCTGGGTAGGATATAAAAAAAACAAATAGAGCAATCCCTCCTCAACAGCATATGTTGTCTCAGGCACCTCATGAATTCAACTCTGTGGCTAGACATTGTGACGGACACAACCAGAAGCCAAATTTCCAGTTGTCCGTCTGGTCTGTCCTCACTAGTTGCTGGATGAGAAAGTCTGTTGGCTTGAGGCCGACACCTACATTATTACTACAGCAACCAGTGTTGATATTCCAGATATTTACTGTCTGCACTGCACAAACAACTGATGCAATGTAAGCCCTTACAAAAGTAACAGTGAGGACAGTCAATTCCAAAGATCAGGATTGCAAAAAACAAATCAGAATGCTGTGTGGTTTGAACAAAAGCCCACGTGCACAAGTGTCTTGGCAGTCAAAAATATTTGTTTCTCTACCTTTTTGTTCTGTTGCTTCTCCAGCTTTTCTTTTGCCTCATCCAACTCTTTCTGGATCTTCTGCACGTGTTTGTTCATCTTCCGGATGGTCGAATGTAGAATCTCCCACACATAAAACCTGCATAGACCCAATGAACATCAATTACAGCTGCAATGACCTCACCTGCACAGGTAAGTGCGTTCTGCAGGTTTACCTGGTAAAATCATGAGCCATTTCAGGAGAAAATATCCAGTTGGCCACAGCTGCACAGTCCACGATCTGGGTCCGTATCAACTTGTCCACCAACACGGAGGTCATCTGAAAGAGTACATCGACAACATGCCACGGCTGGTGTTCAATAAGACAATACAACATATAAAATAAGACGTCTGACTGATCCCACCTGAGGATGGTTCCTCCAGAACTCATACAGAACCCTGAGGATGTGCAGTTTCCCCTCATCACTGTCTGTAAGGTTCTTCAGAACCTCATGGAACCTGAGAGAGAAAAGAAATGCATCCATTGCCATTTACCAGAAGAACGGCACCTGAGCATTTTACAAGCTTTCATACATTCCCAATGATCTGTGCTTTTAGCAATTACAGGCAGCGTTTGTAAGAAGAAGGAGAGGGAACACGGAGCCAGCCGCTGGCAGGCCTGTGTGGGGTTTGGCAGGAGATACTCACTTGGCCAGGGCACTGAAGGAATGACTGAAAGACTTTGCAGCCAAATGGAGCAGTGTCTGCAGGAACACTTCAATCTTCAGAGGGTTGAAGCCGTCGCCCTCATCTGGATAGAAAGGAGAAGTGCGGTTACATAAAGAAAACGAGGCACATTCACGTTTAGTCATGGCCAAAAGTTTTGGCAGTGACAAATTTTGTGTTTTGCAAAGTTTGCTGCTTCAGTATTTGTAGATTATTTTTTTCACATGTTTCTATGGTATACTGAAAAACAATGATAAGCATGTAAGTTTTAAAGGCTTTTATTGGCAAAAATATATATATGATGAGTCAATATTTACAGTGTTGACCCTTGTTCTACATAACGTCTGCAATTCGCTCTGGCATGCTGGATATTAGATTCTGGGCCAAATCCTGACTGATGGCGATCCATTCTTGCCGTATTAGTTCTCTGAGTTGATCACAATTTGTGGGCTTCTGCTTGTCCACTCACCTTTTGAGGCTTGACGTTTTTTTTGGAGCGAAGTGGCTTCTTGACACCAGGCCGTTGTCCAGAAGTCTTCGTCTCACTGTGCTTGCAGATGCTCTCACACCAACCTGCTGCTATTCCTGAGCAAGCTCTGCACTGCTGGAGACATGATTCCAGCTGACTCCTCAGGAAGAGACAGTCCTGGCGCTTGCTGGACACTCTGGGACGTCCTGAAGACTTCTTCACTGCAGTCAAACCTCTCTCCTTGAAGTTCTTGATGATCCGGTAAATGGTTCTTTCAGGTGCAATATTCTTTGTAGCAATTTCCTTGCATGTGAGGCCATTTTGATGCAAA